AATAAAAGACTTTGTTTTTGCGATGAAGAAAATATGGAAGGAGGTGTAGTGAAATGTTCCAATGAAAAATGTCCTGTTGTACATTTTCATAGAAGATGTATAAAAGTTTTCAAAAAATTAAAGACTACTTGGTATTGCTTAATATGCAGACAAAATTTAAAAAACTCATCTAAACCATTACCTCAAGTAACAATTAATGAAAATTATGCCAGATTGTCTGAATATATCATAAATTATGGTATAAATAATGGAAAAAAAGCGTTAAGAAAGGGTTGTTTGAATAAACCACCTGAAGAAAGCCATAGTATAGACTCTTTTAGTGAGGATGAGGACATCGAGGAATATGAAGAAAGTCACAACAATGATGAAGAGAACACTAAAAACATAGAAGAAGAAGAAGAAGAGATAACACTGAAACATTTATATAATTTTATGAAGCAGCATATGGCAACAAAACAACAAATAGAAGATACAAATAAAAGAATTGATATACAAATCGAAGAGATAGATTCAATACATAGTCACATGGCAAGAATAAGTGATAGAGTTAATAAAGTAGAAGCATTTGATAGTAGGATAAGAAGAACTGAAGAAAGAATTGAAAAAATTGAAAATAATCCAATGTTAGAAAGAAAGATAGAAAACTTAGAAGGAGCTGTTGCAAATATTGAAAACAAATTTATCAATAGGAATGAGGAATATATATTAAATCAAAAAACACCATTTACTATACAAGAACAATGTCAAAACTCAAAATGGGAAAATGAGTGTATATTTAGAAATAGTAAAATATATGAACCATTAGATTTTTTAGAAAACTTGAAAATTATATTCGAAAGGAAACCAAAAGACCTCAGGTTTAACGTTTTTGTTAAAAAGTATTTATCTGCAGAAAGTTTAAGTTGGTGGAATATAAATGAAAATGAACAAAATGAAGATACAGACTTGGATCAATGGAAATTATTTGCGGAGAAGTTTAAAATTAAATTCTGGAATAAAGAATATACTCAAATAGTAAATAGAGAGTTAACAAGTGGAAGTTATCGTTATCATTATGAAAAAGAACACCCCAACACAATATTTTAGTAACTTGAAGTAGTTCGTAAAATTTTAGAAGATGTCCAACACCACTATCAGATGAAGATATTTGTACATTTTTAGCAAAACATTTCGGAAGTAAAGTTGAAGATGCGTGGATAGCGCATCCAAACCAGACTGTGGAAGGGTTATATACTTTAGTAAATAGATTTGGAAAATTTATAATATGTGGGAAATATGATTTATTACAACAGTAAATTTACAGTATAACAAATAATAATTTAAACTGATTAACTATAAACAATGAACAACGAACAAAATGAACAATTTATGAAAATGATAACTGATCACTGATCACTGGACACTGATGATTGATGATTGATAACTAGGAGCAACGGTCCCACTTCTTATATAGGCGGTAGAATGTTCCAGAACAATCGACCGCCGAAGAATCTTCTAGAGGCGGCGGCGGTCGAACGTTCTAGAACATTCGGCCGCCACAAATACTAGAAAGTCTTAATGTTAACAAAAAGAAACCGAGCGAGACTTATGTAAAAAACAATTGGAGTAGTAATTATCAAAATCGAAATTTCAAAAGTGCAAGGAATATTGATTACCAAAATCAAAACAATAGATATACAAGATATAATAATTATCAAAATCAAAATAAATGGAGTAATTACCAGCAGAGTAATAAACAAAATAATGGATGGAATAATAATCAGCAAAATCAAATAGGAAAGGACGGTAATAGCCAAAATCAAAAATGGAAAAAGTGGAAAACACCATACAATGATCAGAAAGTCGTCAATGCCGTATTAGAAGACATTACAGATACAAATAATTTAGATCCTGACGAAGGTCAAAATGAAAGTTTATAGCAATTAAAGAATTTACCTACAAATATTCCGTCAAATGATAGCTTAAATATACTAGAACCTGTAAATATTGTAAATAAGAAGTGTGTTGTAGAAACCAACAGCAACATCGAAGGTATAAATAATATTTTTGAAGAGGATGATATGAGTGATGAAAATGATAAAAACTTATCAAGAAAAATACAATGTCCAATAGTTAAAGGAATAATAGGAACTTGTGAAGTTGAGCTGTTAATTGACTCCGGATCAGAGGTTACAGAAATGGAAGAACAATTTTTTTGGAATAATCATAACAAGTTCGGACATGTAGAAATATTACCAACTACAAAGACAACTATAATTACCGCTACTGGAAAAAGATCCCCTATCTCAAATAAACAAGTATTTTTAACAGTATATGTCAATAATCAACCAGTAGAGATGGTATTGATTTTAGTTAAAGGACTAACATTCCAGATTATTGTTGGAGTAGATACACTAACAACTATTAATACTTGTATGGATTTTCAAAACAAAAACATAAAATACACAAATGCCAATAACGTTATACAAGAAGTGTCGTTCAATCAATGTTCAACCGGACGGAACGTTATTGCTACTAAAGAAATATTTGAAGACAATCCACAAATATCTATGCTGAAATTAACACAAAATATTAGAGAAATTATACCTGAGACCGTAGAGGGAACAACTGGTTTATCAGAAGAACAAAAACACGAGTTACAAACAATTTTACAAGACTACCATGAGTTGTTTAGTTCGGAACCAGGATTAGGTAAAGTAACACCGTATCAAATTCAAGTAACTGATAACACACCGTACAAGCTCAGACAATATTCTATCAAACCAACACTAATGCCAGTCGTCGAACAGGAAATTCAGCGTATGATACGAGGAGGAATAATAGAGCCCGCAAATAGTTCGTTTCTGAATCCAATGGTTGTAGTACAGAAGAAAGATGGATCAGTAAGAATATGTCTTGATGCACGAAAGATAAACTCAAGAACCATTCCAGAGTATGATGCACCGCCAAAAATAGAAGATATCTTATATGACAGTCAGGCTACCAGATGCATCTCAACTTTAGATTTAACAGCATCGTTTTGGCAAATTCCACTACATGAAAATAGTAGACAATACACAGCTTTTGCTTTCCAAAACATTGTATATCAATACAAAGTTGTACCATTTGGATTAAAAAATAGTTTAGCTGCATTAGTTAAACTACTACACCACATTTTGCCACAAAAACATAGAGAGAGGATACGC